ACCCCCCAGCGGGCGCCCCCCTAAAAACCCACCCAGCCAATAGCAGACACAGCCACACAAACGATCTCCTGTATAGGCTGCCCCGACAACAACTACAGTGACAGGCATACAACCGTACACACACACACAATCCCTACGCACATGCCCCCGTCACGCACTCAGCCACCACTCCACACCACAGTACCACCAGTCGATGCAGACTCACCACCCCCACACTCACCGTCATCGCCCCTCCAATTCATACATGGCACAACACACATGTTACACCCAAGGCACACCCAACACACGCAACCCAGCCTATGCTGCACAGACTCACACAAACACAGCCCCAGACTCCTCCAGCCCTGGACGCCTCCCTTTCGAGTGATGGACACCATGCTGCCCTCTACTCCTCTCCCCAGGCCAAGCTCCCAGCTGCCCCAGTCAGCACCAGGATGGGGGGTGGGGGGGCAAGGGGGTCTTAAGTTAGAGACGCCAGTGCCCCACCATGGGATCCTACCCACCTCAGCCTGGGCACCACCTGAGGGCAGCACACACCAGGTTTAGACCCTGTGACTTGAGCCCCCACGGTGCCACACTTGAGAACATGGGGAGGGGACTAGGTCCTGGAGCTACAGCCACCCTCTGAGCCGGCCCCCTCCTCAGCCACAGCAGAGACAGAGAAAAGGGACGGGATAAAAGCAAAGACGGAGACCTGGAGAGTGGGGAAAGAGGGACAAGACCAGCAGGCGGCTGGGAACAGGAAATGACAGCAGCAGAGGGGCGCCCTGTGAGCCCATGAAGACTGACAGAAACCAGAGGATGAGCCCAGAGAATAAAGTGGGACCAGCACGCCCAGAGGACAGGGAGGACGACACCAGTAGCAAAGACTAGAGGGTCTCTACAGGAGAGGGGACAGAACCAGGGAGGGAGCCAGGCAGAGCAGGAGAGATGAACCCTAACAGGAAGTGAGCTTTGGGCCCTGGGGTAGCATCTGCAGGACTGAAGTCCAGATGTCTGAGTGGGAATCTGGGTGGGGGAAGCTGTGGAGTGGGGGCTCGGGGCTTGAAGTGAGACCCCAGCTCTGGGGTGGGGTCCTGGTTGAGAGTTGGGGTTCAGCCTTCTGAATGTGCCTGGAGTCTACATGTGCGGTGAAGGTTCAAGGGACTGGGCAGGGAACCTCTACCCTGGAGGGGAAGGGGCTCCAGACTTGAACAGAACTCCCAGTGTGGACCAGGGTCCCCCTGTGGATTGAGAGTTCAGAGCGTGGGGCCGAGTCCAAAAGGGGTTCTGAGTCGGGGTGGCGTTTGGACTGCCAGCTGGAGGTCCAAGGGCTCCTCGGGTTGCAGTCCCAGTCCAGAAGTGGGATTTGGAACTAGGGATGGGCTCCCCTCTCTGCAGAGGGTTTGGGGGTTCACGGGCGGGTGGACCATGGGGCCGGCGGCCGCACGCTCGGCGGAGGACCCGGCCCGGGACTCGTTGGACACC